GCACTGCTCTTTGGGTCTCTGTATAACATCTCCCAGCCTGCAATGTATTTAAAAAATGAAATAATTATAATAAGAACTTAATTAACTGCATCCACAGCTGCAACACCTTGTGGGTCCTTCTCTGGAAGAGGGTTGTCCTCACCTGGCAGAAAGACAGACTCTCCTGGTCCCGCTCTTGTCTCTACCCAAACCCTTTTGGAACATCTCTTGTCCGATATTGCATTGTAGGTGCTGAAAAACCATGGTGCAGGCTTTCATCCCTCAGCTGATCTGCGTGCAAATTTATTTATTCATCAAATTTATATGGCTGCCCATCTCACAAGAAGTGACTCTGGGTGGCTTACAGCAAAAAAATATAGAAACAATAAACATGTCAAAAGCAGTCAAATTAAAAAAAAATTAAAAGCATAAAACAGACAGATTAGATCAGCAAGGGAGCCACCTCAAGATTTCGCCAGTCCCCTAAGACCCCCAGGCCAGATGACACAGCCAGGTCTTGAAGGACTTCCGGAAAATAAGTAGGGATGGAAAAGACCTCATGGAGGGGCGGAGGGAGAATGTTCCATTAGTTGGGTGCCACAGGAGAGAAGGCCCGCCTCCTTGGGCCCTTCAAGTGTAGTTCCCTGACTGACAAGACTAAGATCTGTAGCATGTCTCTCTTGCCAGATCTGATGGGATGGACAGAAGTAATGCTGCCCTTCCTCTCCTTTTTTGCAAGAAACTCACTGAAGCAGCCCTCCAGCAGGCAGGCTGAGGAGATCAGGAACAAGAGTCCCATCTGGAAGAAGCCTGAATCTCCTGCTCAGCTTTGGATCTGGCCCATCCACTTACTATTAAAGGATGGCATAGAAGGCATATACATAGAATCTAAAAGAGACCTACAAAAAGCAGCATAGGAAAATTAACATCTTCTGTAAACTGATCGTCTGATCAGCAGTCAAGAATAAATGTGTTTTTATTCCAGACAAAAAGGCAGATTGCAAAGTACAATTATCAGGCCAAGTGGCAATTCTTGGGTTGCAAATGCTTGGCTTTCAGGAGCACAAGTTCATTTACAAGCACTGCATCTGTTCAATTGTTTTTGGAGTGTTTGGAAATAGATGCTACAAAGTATCTTTTATAGGCATGCACAGTTACACTGGGCTCCCAGCCAAAAGAATGCAAAGGAGCCCCAAATAAGCCAAGATTATGGGTTATATACCCCAAGAAGTGTTACACTGGAATGATAAAAAGAGCCAGTTTGGTGTAGTGGTGAAAGTGCTGGCTTAGAAACCAGGACACTGTGAGTTCTAGGCCTCCTTAGGCATGAAAGGAACTGGGTTACTTTGGGTCAGTCAAAGGAACTGGGAAAGGAACTGGGTTTGGGTCTCTCTCAGCCCAACCCACCTCACAAGGTGGTTGTTGTGGGGAAAATAGGAGGCAGGAGTATTAAGTATGTTCACTGCCTTGAATTTTATT